TGAAAATGAAGCAGTTTTACATAGCTATGTTGTAATACTTCATGGTACTGATTAACCTCAGTTTGCCAGCTTACTTTGGTCCCAATACCGATGGTAATTTGAATATTACTGAGAACTTGATAAATAAGAACAGCAACATTTTCCTTCACAAAATCCCATTTTCTACAGAGTTGATATACAGTATTACTATAACGTTAAGGTCTAACACTATAGTAACATGTTTGCTTACGAAAGTCAGTCTAGAGTGTAAAATATGAAGCCATATTAGAGGTAATGAATTATCTGTATTTAAACCCACAAAACAGGCATGATGGTTTAGTAGAGAGTATGTTTCCAGTGCATTCTTTCAGTTGGAGCCTTTTAAAAAATTTGCAGCAAAATATTTATTGTAATTGTTGTAAATACTGTGTTCTTAACATCTCTAATAAAAACCACCATCAGGATCAAATCTTTAAAAGCACAGAGGAGTTCTTAGTGGCTTTGAATCCAGAAGGATCATGTAATTAATAAGACTGTACTTGACAAAGGAATATATAATTTATATATAATATAAAACATGTAATAATGTAGAATTTAACATATAATTTACAATTATGCGCCTGCCAAACCAAGCTATTTGAACAAGTTTTTAAAACAGCTGATGATGTAATCCAGCTGCACTGACAGTGCACGGCTCATGTAACCTTGAATACTTCAGGCAGTTTAAGACGGAACTTCATTGTAAACAGCTTGGTCTTTGCCCCCTCGCTTTTTAAAGGAAGTTCTTTTGGCTGAGATGAAGGAAAATTAAAAAGAATGTTACTGACATGAAATATTAAAAGGCAGGCTTTCTGAAGCCAGCTTTAGTGCATTTTAACTTTTGCCTTTAAATTCCATTATGGGCAACGTTTTGCAGAGCATTATCAGTGATGCAGAAGACTATGCTCATAGGAAAGTTCTGCAGTGCAAAGTATAAAATATGCTGATGATTTAACACCTCGCACAACCCAGCGTTCCCCACACGGGGGTCAAAAGCCAGGGTTCAGCTGGACTCACAAATACATCACCCTGAATCAAACAGACCATCCCTAAATAGTAGCAGTCACTAACATACACTCATTACATTAATAAATTGCTCGCTAATGGGAGCAGTGACAAGTTAGATGTGCACTTAGTGGCCCTGTTTGCAGCCCGCCCCCCATGTCTGAATGCCTGTTTTTCTCTGGGTTATGTTCTAAAGGCTTCAAAGGGCATGAAGAAAATCTGCTCAGTGTTGTGAAATAAATCAAAGAGTGTCTGCTGAAAATTCCTAAAACGCTTCGGCCCTAATCTCCCGGACCAGAGAGTGGGCTTGCAGAATGCTAAACTTGCTTTTCAAAGAAGATCAAAGTAACACGAGCAACAATTAAAAACACGGGTGCAGGTGTGCACATGCGCAGGGGCACCGCGGAGGCAGTAAGAACCTCTTTTTAGTCATCCCTGAATGCTAACGCTGACTTATCTAATCATTACACATGTGATTTGAAAGGACAGGAGACATGTTTAAAAGGTATGCAAAAATTGTCTGCCTTTATGTATAAAACGTGTTTTATGCACATGCGACATTTTCCGAGATACACTATTTCCATTAATTTTGAAAAGCTCCTTAGCCACTGTCTAATTAAACCAGCCTATAATTTTGTTGTTTAGTGATTTGAAGATAAATGAAGTTGCAATTGTGCATCTACCCTTCCTAGTGTTACTTAGTCTTTAAGTAGGGTTTAGTCTCCCAGACCTTGCTTTAACACTTGGAAGGCCAGCTGCTTGCCTTACCAAACGCCTGAAGAACCAGACTCACACCGCTGCCTCTTCAAGTGGCATCAGGCTGTTTGGCAGCTTATCAAGGGCACCGCAGAGATTTTATTTGCCTGCTTCAACTTTTAAACGGTATTGGTTGCTCTGCCTAAGACTGGTCACTTCTACCCGCACTTACACAAGAAATACTCGTGCTAGTAGGTAAGTGGGCTCACACAAGAACTGCTCCTGCTAGCAGGTGAGTGCCCAAGGGAGAGTGACGTTGCATGACAGGCGCTACGCCACCGGCGCGGGGGGAGACTTAGCAGCCAACCTGCTATTTCCCTGACAATATGGTTTGTCTGTTTTCCCCTTCTTAAGCTGGTATTTCGCTGCGCAAACTAAAAAGAAAAAAAAAAAAGCAGCTGTGGGAAAAAACTCTTCAAAGTTCACAGAGTGAGTAAGGAAGGAGTAAAACCCCAAATGAACTCCCCTGGCTGAACCGGGTTAGCATGAAAAATGCTTCTGCTAAATCTTGAAAATTTAGGTCAGTCTTGTTTATGTGAAGATATAAACCACTGACATTTTGAGAAGCATGTGAATCGAAGTGATATTTCAGTGTTCTCTCTGAATCACATTGGGCCACCAGGCCTTTCTAAACCGACCAATTTTTCCCCCTTCAAATTAGTAAAAATAAATCTGAATTGTCACTTAAGCTGTAAGCAGCAACATATTGGAGTATCGTGCTTTGAAGTCTAGTGGCAGCAGCTGCTGAAATACTGCATATTTTTAAAATACACTGAGTTAACTGAGTAGATACTTGGGAAACATTTAACAGAAGAGAACAAAGTAGGTACAATTTTCAAAGCTATCTGCTTTTTCCTTCTCCCGTATTAATACGGGTTATATTATTCCCCTATGAGTTTCAGAGAAGATGAGGAAAAAGATAATTGATGCTTTTCTGAGACCGAACTGATGTTATCCAAAACATGCATCACACCAGATACCCATTACATTTAACACAGCTCAACATAAGGCGATTTTGACAATGCGAGTAGGGCTCAATCCTATTTCCCTTCAAATCCACGTGAATAGTTTATTATATACAGAACCAGGCTCAGTGATTCATTTTGATAAAACGCTACTTAGCAGCATCAAAACTGCCCAAGTATTTTGTCTGCCTATACTGGGGCCTCCTACTGCTGCCATTGAAACAAATGGCAAAATTCCCATTTATTTCCATGGGAGGAGAGCCAAACCCTTAGAAACCTTTGTATTTAAGGAAAAACATTTTTCCTCCCACTCATGACTACAGTTCCCCTGAAAAACCAATGGAAATGTTTAAGAAGTCAGGTGGTTAGGACTGGGCCCAAAGGTCAGGAACAAAGAATATTAATACAGTCTTGCTATTGAAAAACTGAGCAGCATCCTCGAAGCGTTGTTGTTGTTTTTAAACACAAAATGTCACTCTCAGATCTAACTAGGAAGATTTTAAAATATATATAAATCTGGGAAGAAGAAATGAAGCACACATTTCATTTAGTGTCTGGATTACAGATTCTTATTAAACAAACCAGAGCTCATTATAAAATCAATATCAACTTAACCACTATAGTCCCAGGAGAAATGGCAAAAAAGGTCACTCCAAGAAATTCAAACAATTTTCCTCCTGGAAGGGCACGATTTTAATTACAGATACTATTAATTAGAGCTGTCAGTAGGAAGATTGTCCTGTTAATTATCACAAATTCAGTTTCAAGTGTGATTTTGGAACCTGGAGGGCTTTTTTTTTAAATTAAGGATTCTTGTATTCACGCTTAATGGAAGAAAAAGACTACCTATTGCTTCTGTGCTTTAAATAAGTCAACAGCAAGTTCCCTATTAAAACCAAACAAAAATATTTATGGCCAATAAATATTGGCTGATAATTGACTGATCTGACAAACTGCTGTTTTGGTCACACTTTATCCTGGAGGACGCTCCTTTTTTCCACTAGAAAAGCTTTTGCTCTCGCTCTCTCTTCCTTTGGAAGTCATTAAAGATGTAAATATTTTTTTTTGCAGTAAACATTCTTTTTAAACTGAAAACCATTCCTGAAGATGCTAATTGTTACAGAACATTCATATTTATCATGAGGTACTAAAATCTCCCTGGACCCAGCCTGTGGAGACGTACTTAATACATTACATCTTTAACATATAAGAGGTACAGGCAGATCCAAACTTTGCGAGGAAATATGAGTTTATTCCCGTATGACTCCCAGCTGCCAATCTGAATCTATCTCAGCTCCAGAATACAGAAAGGCCACAATGGCTGATCCTAAGCAGAACAAGAAGGGAAAATAAAACTTGACAGAAGAGTGCCACTGGCGAGACCCTGTGGGTGCACAGCAGACACGGATACTACAGCAACAATGTTTACACATTCTTGGATTCTTTTTCCTGGTCACACTCCAAATATTTTGGGATAGCAGACCAGAGCAGTGTGGTGTATGACCGTAACACATGCATTACCACACCAATAACACACCAAGAAATAAGTGCCATGATCTAAAACAAACTTCAGGAAGATGCAGAGTGTCTCTCCACCCAATACTTTCGAAATTGAAAGAGAAAGCCTGAGGTTTCTGATTTATTTCAGGAAATCTGAGCGCAGTCCTCCCGTATTACTGGGTACACATCTGCTACCATTGTTCTCCCAGAACCAGTCCTGGTTTACCTCCCCATCTATCAGCATTAGATTTCATTTTATCTGAATAATGGCAGAAGGTGGCAACAGATCGGGTCAAAGGCTCTTTTCATATCAGACCCTGAAGAAGTCGATTACTCAAAAAGAGAGACATCTTCAGATAACCGTGCAATCCATTCCTCATAAATGTTAAAGATTTTTCGTTATTAATAGTGGCAGGGGTGACAGATTATGGATATTAATGTTATTTTTCAGAGAATTTCAATGGCAACGGATTTTATTTTTCAGAGAATTTCAATGGCACCGGATTCTTTTTTCTGGGTTTTTTTTTTTTTTAATGTTTCTAATTAGGCACGAATTTACAGCGACTACCAGAATAGCCAAGATTAACACCCAGCAGTAAAAAGCTGCTACAGTGAATCCGCGGGAATATGAACGGAGCGGGGGGGCAGCATCGGTAACAAACCCATCCCCTCGGCTCCCAGTACGTGAAGGGTCCCCCCGGGGTCTGCCGAGCACCCCGGGGGAGCGGGGCCGGAGGAGGAAAGCTCGGTCCTTACCTGATAAGCAGCGGGGGCGTCGGAGCCGGCGTCGGCCCCCAGGGCCGAGAGCTTCTCCTTCAGCCGGGGG